ACACAAAAGCATCCATCTTTCGTTTGACTCGACGTTCAGTTTGAAACGAATGAGCTGAGTAATTGAGATGTTGAAGTAAGCAAAACGATGCACTTCATGAAAACAATGGCAAATAAGTGAAACACAAACGATGCCCCGTGGTGTATTTTATCAAAATTGTGTGGAACAGTTAAAGTCCCAATAGTCTAGACAAATGAAGCTTCTTATTTCAATATCCAATTTATGACTAAACATAGCTGAATGTTACATAATAATTCAATTGTACAAAGTATTGCTTGCAACATACCAAAAAAGCCGAATACCAAACAAGCGATTTCGACGCGAATGACAGCATAAGCATCAAATTGATTGGCGTTATGGCTGAATAAAAAATTGCTGCAATTTGTATGAATGAGTGTTGAAGGATAATGTCACATTCAAATTACAGAACTATTAGGATATACTGTGCGACTCCGATTATAATCCTTGAACAGTTGTTGGTCTCTTGTGTAAGAGAATTAATGGTTTTGATGATGTGCCGGTTTTGCACTTGTTGCTTCATCGAATTGCTCTCTTTCCTGCCATTTTCAGGCTGCGCAATTTCATGATGGCAATTTTATATTGCCTTGATCGGCTAGTGTGTGTGTGTGTGCTTGTGATTAGATATGAAAAGAAAGGAGAAAGAAAATGGAAATTCTTGTATGGTCTTCCGTGTGACATGAGTTATGAAAATATTCATTTGTCTAGCATGCCAAGTGATGTGTTTCGCAGTGATAAATTCACCGAATTAGATTGACTACTCTCGCACGCACTCCGTGCGACGGAAATGAGAAGAATTTAACGCGCTTAGTGCGCAAAAAGAAGAAAAAAATGTCATCGCTACGTGACACACACACACAAACATACAATAAAAACTGGGGATCTTGCGATTTTTCTCGCACTGGAAGAGGTGGAACATAAAAAAAGCTCAACTAGAATAATATCGACAACGTCGACGAACAGCACCAAAGAACAACACACAACCGGAGTTCGAACAAATGCGGTTTATGAATGCAATTTGCGTTGCCTAGGTCATTGGATGAAACGAAAATTTATGCGCAAACGAAGCGTTTGACCTTACATATTGTAGTCAACGTGTAAATGATAATACCACACATAGAGACAATGGAAAGAAAAAGAAGCAACCATTTACACATACATTGCCCAATGGAAAATAGATTACATTTCGTGATTAAAATTTTTCGTCCGTTGAATGTGTTGCTTCATGCAAATAGAAACGGATCGAATTCAATGGTAATTTATTCCCATGCGAATAAAAATTCAATATACCGATTTTCGTGCATTGCATAGAATTTTGTGCGGCAGACCAACCAGTCTTGACTCTACATAATCGCTGTAATACATAAAAAGTTCGATGAAAGGTGTGTAGAAGGACAAACATGTACAAATGATTTTATGATGATTTTCGGTATTGTTTTTGCACAATTGACAATCGGCTTCGATTCGATAATCATATTATGTCTGTGTATATTCACAATCTTGGCATGTCATTCAATAGGCATGTTATTCATTTTTATTCAATTCATCTTAATGCTTAGTAATCAAAGTACGTAATTATGATAAAGAAACGGTTCGCTGCAAAATCAAGGTCATTTCGTCTAAGAGAACTTTATTTCTCGCAGTAAAGCTTGATGAACTTGCTGGCAAAAGTCGAGATTGAAATCAAGGAGAAGCCAATGGAAATCACAAAATAAAGAGAAAATTATGACAAAAGCCACCAAGCAAAATACGCATTTTGCGAAGAAAAGAAATATTTTCGATGTGAATGAAACGTAATTACCGGAGAAAAGAGCATCGGGTTTTATTGTGTTTCAACAAAATATCCATTTTACTTTCAACTTTAATCAAAAACTCTTTGTATTTCTGCTTTAATATATTCTTTCAATAGAATTGAAAGTAATGGAAGTAGAATAATGTTTAATCGCTTTCTACCTTCAAAAAGAAGTATAAATACATACATTTTCATGATTTGTTTTCAGCGAAAAGTCTCTTTTCGATAGTAATGAAGCGCATCGCGGATTCACAGAAATACTTCGGAATGGCGTATTTCTTCGAATAAAATTATTATCGTAATAAAAGTGCTGGTGTCTCCTGAGACAGAGAATAGCAGATAGAATGCACCACGTTAAGGTTGGGAGGAGTGCGGGGTAAGAGCAAACATTGTATGAGTGTAGCAGAATGTTAAAAAATCGCATTGAAGCAAATGGTTTTTCAACACCAAAAATGAACATTACTTCATGTTTTTTCAAGGAAATCAACTGCTTTTTTCTTTTTTCTTCTCTGGTAGAAAAAACTGCTTTTTTCCTTTCGTTCTCTGGTAAAAAAGGAAAATGGTTTTTTTGTCTGATTGTTGGATATTTTCAATTTACTTGAACATTGAAAACGAAGTTAAGAGTTCTGTGATGGATTTAACTTTTTCAACTTGTAACCGAAACTGAAACCTTCGTTTGTCTCAATAGACGCTATCACACACAAATGCACCTAAAATACGACGGGTGCTTTCTTATCATTATCGAAAGGGACGCTCGTAAAATACAACATTTCTCGAATGAAACATCATTTGATTGAAACTGAATGAATCCATACAAATAAACACAAAATTTCAAATAAATTCGCTCGATAAATTTTCTTTGCAAAAATGTTTACAAATTACCACTGAAATGTAACAGAATCATAGATCCTATGCTAATTTCCATGAAAAGTTGTAAAACAATATTAATTAAATGGAAAACGGATACAGTTGAATACATAGTCATGAAGCCGTTTAATTTGACGGAACATGAAACCAAAATGAAGACAAATAAAAGAGAAACACAACATAATTGCCAGTTAAATATTTTTTTTTTTAACGAATTTTACACAAATTAAATTAGCCACAAAATATTGTAATTTGAATTTTTATCTAATATAAAATAACAGTCACAAGCACACAAATTCCATTAAATAAGATAATAACATACTTTGATGAGAATCAGCTCTGTGCTCTTTGTGGCTGCACTTTAAAAAATTGAATAAACTTTAATGTCTTTTTTTATTTGTTTGAACTTTTCGATTTTGATAAGGGGAACAACTGGATTGGATGAGACGGCTCTGGGTTGTGTGTCGAAACGAGATATGGTGGAATAGAATATAATTTCGGTGAATGTGATAAATTCGTGTGTGAATCGTCACAGTCGAGGGCGGCAACTGAAAGAAAGCAACAGTGGAAAAGTTCTATATACCGTATTTGAGCCAGCACAAATGAAAAGCAGCTGAGAAAGCAGCAGCAGTGGCGACGGCGGCAGCAACGGCATACAAAAAAAGCACAATTCAATTGTATGTGATCGAAGAGACCGCTTCAAACATGTATATATATGCGTTCCATCCGATACACGCACACAAAATTCACTCTGGCGTGAATTGCGTATGATTCGCAATGCTGCCATTGATTTCAACAATACAAATGTACTTGTGGCTACACAGAGTTACAAATGTTTCGCATTTAATTGCATTCTGTGGCAGAAAACATGGTTCAGACCATATAATCAGTTTCGTCAAATGGCACAAAAGTGAAAAACATAAACCTTACATTGTCTACAGATTTCTGACTTTATCTCTCTAAATAACGGCCTTGTTTATTTCAAACTTAAACCAAATGGATAATCTGTTTTCATTTTAGCCACTCGCATTAAACAAAGTTGACACAACCACAATGGGAAACCAAAAATGTGTGCGTGTGTCTCATTCAATGGTAATGGTCTTGTTTGGTTCGTTCGGAATATGTGCAAACTTAAGTCGATATTATGTACAGAAAAGACGACAGATTTATTACGATTTTTGCTTCGATAAGCCCTCATATTTGTCTGGAATTTGGTTCACACATATACGCAAAACCAGTGGGTTGTATATCGCTTTCAAATAGCTTTTAGTCTATGTGTGATAGAAGATCTCTGACGATGACCGCTTCAAGCTTTCACTTCCACATCATCGCTGATAACCTTGTAAGCGATTTCATTTTTTCCAGTTTGGAAAGCTTTTTTAATGAAATGCAACAGACAGTAGTGCAACAAATGAGAATTTCCCATTTGTAAGCGCAAGCGCAACCATTCACATTCGACAGACACAATCATATATAAGTTGGTTCACACGAAACACCGATGACAGCCTTTATATATAGTATAAACATTTCGCATTTCAGATGAAATAGTACAACAAAAATGTCATTGTGATAAGTCGATTTTCATTTGTGTTTACAGTATTTTATTGTCATTAAGAGAGCTGTGTTTAAGCTCGCAGAGATGAATAAAAAAAATAGAGAGACCAAGAACACTGTCCATGGAATCGACATTGACACGTACATTAATTGCTGCCTCGAGTTGAAGTGAATCAAAGTGCCTCGAATCAATTCAGTGACGACGACAGCAGCCATGGTGCTGCATTTAATTTGACACATAAAAAGTGAGACAACATGATCAAAATAAAGAGAATTTTGTAGATAGATCCCTGTCACCTTCGGACCCGCAATCACATACCAAAGCTGGCTGAATGTGATGCTTACTCTCTGCATTGGTATCATTCATGCATGCATGGTCGAATTTACTTCAAATATTACCGAAAATTACGCAGAAACCAGCGAAAATACGGATAATACTAAAATTGCTTTTTTCACACGCACAAACACACACATGAGCGCAAACACTGAATTTCAAATAATGGAATTTTTCATGACGGCAACAAAAAGAGAATTAAAAGGTTTTTTTTTTTTTTTTTTGTTAATTTTGTTGTTGTTTGGTATTCGCGCTAGATCCTACCGAACACACGAAGCATATGTAATCCATGCGATTTGTACAAATTGCAAGCCGGGGCTTTGCTGTGTACGTGATGATAAATAATTGAACTCTATTCGATGGGCTTCGACAAGCAAACAAATTCCAAGTTTTTAGCTTTTTTCGTTGAAATCACGTTAAAACTCCTTACTTCATTCTCTCGCTATATTTTTCGATCTCATCACAAAAGAGTGTGCGTCGTTACCATCTGTCTGATAGAAGTATAATTTGAAGTGCGTTGATTACTTTGGTTTGTGTTTGCCAATGTTGTTTAGCATAACGCATCATCAAACTCATATGTGAATGCTACAGAATCAATGTGAAATTTCTACTAGCAACACAGTAAAATTGAACTTTATTCATACAAAAGTTTCTGGTTTCATCTATTTTGCTTGTGTCACAATTTGGACGATATAACTGCTTGGTTTTTCAATCCAGGGGAAGTGTGTGTGATTTTTTTAAATCTGTGATGCGAGAATGCCTCAATTCACCAGGTCAGTTTTATTTTAATAAGTTACAAGTAGATGTGTCACATTCATTCTTGAGCATTCACGTAAAAGATGTATATATTCGTATAATTTCACACTTGCCACACATTTTCATTATCGCCCATGTTCACACATTGTCTGTAATTATCGACTTTACCGGTTTCAATAATTATACGAAAATACGAAAGTAATCAATATTTATTGCTTTTCAGGACAATTACTGCGGAGCGCACTCATTCGTAAATGAAGATGATGTCGATGATAAAATCGAGAACCATTCATGGAAATAAATAAAATGTTTTGTGAACAATGCACGTTCAGATATAACATTTCGATGTCGCCTTGCTCTCATTTTTTTTCTCCGTAAATATATCGGTCTCGACTCGAACAATATGACACTTAATGTTTGCTTTTTGTGGACTATTGTCGTTAGAACAATAATTTAATGTGTTTTGCTTGCAAATTTGTCACATACACTTACCACACACATATATTGTGAATTAGATCGAATAGGTAAACAATGTGTCGCATTTCGATTTCGCTTCGAGAGACAATGACGACATTTTTTCATATCATATTACGCGTTCTAATGTTAATCTTATACCAAGTGCTCTTTTATCTATGATTCAGTTCATGCTGCCCCATGTACAACTTGAAACTTCCTTTCAGCAGCTTCAAAAGGTAACTTCCAAGCGCCCGCAAAGCGCTATAGCATGATAAGATGATAAATGGACAAATAAAAAGTTTACACTTGAAGACATGGCAAAAAGGAGCAATAAAAATATTGAGAGCAAATACATAAAATTTTACGCGAAGAACAATATATATGAAAAAAATGTTGAGTGCATCAACGCTTTTAATCCGAATAATTAGGGAAAGAGAATCCTATTCTAACACGATTCTGCCATTAAATCATTTTTCGGACACTTATAGTAAACAAAGTATGTGAGTAAAGCAGAGCCAAGAGACAAACGAGAAGAAAAAACCAATCCGCAATGTTGGTTTTATTGAGCCGCAAAATGGAAAAATATTGGTTTATCGGCAACCGCAAGATATGTGCTTGTTGTTCAAACTTATTTCAAAGCAATTTGTTGTTATAAATACTCGCTGTGAATGCTGTAAATGAAAAAGGAACGAAAAAACCGCCACCACATAAACTGTGAGAGTATCGAAAGAATAAGCTTAAATGGGTCGAAAAGGTGTGATGTAGCTTCTACATTTCTCATGATTTTATTGCACGTATAAATGATAGTGGCCGCATTCGGAGGGAGGATGGTGAAAAACCACCAAATGTAATATGTTTGCAGATAGAAAATGGATTTGCTTATCTGCAAATCGCGGTCTTGTGTCTACCATTCGCTGCGGTGAAAATATCATCATGTGTGTGTATGCATGTGGTTGAAATAAATAGCATACACCACACGCAGTTCAAGAGGTAGATTATTTCAGAACATTTTACTCTCGGTACACCTATCGTTGAAACAATTTCTTTGCCAGAGATAAATCTGTTTGGAGCATTAACATTTTTCACAAAACGCGAAGAAACGCAATGTTTGTTACAGTTTTGAGAAGATTTGCACGTATGTGAGTCAAGGCCAAACTATGAAAAATACTATCAAGAGAGAAGCGAAATTCAATGAAGACAACATAAATTATTATCTGTCGGAGGATTTATTCCGTGGATTTATTTTCAACATCGATTCTCTTTTATCTTTTTTTGCAGGAAAAAATCTGCGATTAATATATGGGAACAGCGATACAATAGTTGAACTGTTTAAAATTCATGTCGCTACTCACTGCTGCTAGTTTAAAAACCACACGGAAATTTTATCTGTAAAAAAATCATGGCATTCTTAACCTTTGAATACAAATTATTACCAAATTCAGTGGCATTCTCAAAAATCCAGCTATTTATTGTAGCACACTTAATTCATCGCACATTCCTTTCGTTACTCATTTATATGGACACAAAATTGTGCTCAATTTGCAATGCAACTTCCGCGTATTGACTTAAATCAATGATTGAAATATAGCAAAGTGTTCGTCAATATTAATATTTTTTGAAGAAAATTCACATGATTTATTATTTAAGAATCGGATCTTTTTTTTATAGTTCAAAATTCGATATTCAGATTTCTTTTCATTAAATTCATAAAATGTACGGAATGATAGTATATTACGATACAATCGGTCTGTATTCAAATTCGATTCTACCACACCACGAACGTACTCTCAAAACTGCCACTACGCTGGTTTTTTTTCGTTGAGTTTTCATTTGAGATCTTTTTAGTCTTTGTCTTCTCTATATAGTTTTTATACTTAAATCTTCGAAAAATCCCAAATCCAAGGAAAGAATATAATACTTTTCTATTTTTTCTTTTCAAAAATCGTTTGAACTCATTTCCAGAAAATTCTACAAAATTCGTTGTGATAAGACATACTCTGTGCTTATGTCGATTTCGTAGTCAAACGACCTGTCAAAGCCTCAGCTGTGTACACATCCATAGAAGGGGGCACGTAAATAATAACAAAGAGAGCGAGAACACAGGCAAAGAAGTGTTGGTAAGCATAAAATTCTGCATTCAATAGCCAGACATAAAACCAAAAATACACTATTCAGCGAATAAAGTAAAGTGTTTTATTACATCTTTCGATTGAAAACGGTGAGTCCAAATTTATAAAAATTATTCAATTTTTTTCGTAATCGAATGACGAATTGTTGTTGCAATTTGTTTGCTTTGCACAAGGGCACCAAAAGAAATATATCTGTTTTTCCCAAGTTCTTTTGGTTTGATTCGACGACATATTGTATTCATATATCAGCAACAACAAGAACATTCTCGATTCTTTGTTCGTGTCATGCATTTTTGTTCGCTTTATATCCCGTTTCAGTTGAGCAATTATTCAACGCACGCAAATATTGATAGGATAAAACAAGCCCATAAAAATACAAATTTTTAATTGGTAACAATAAAATATTTACCACTCGCATAAGAAAATGAGGCGCAAAAACCCAAAATTAATTCATTTTTTAAGAGCGTAAAAACCTCTTTCACAACGACCGTTGTATTTTTCCATTCGTTTGTCTCTCATTTCTCTTTTATTCCTATTTTTATCTAACATGTTTCAAATGAGAGCGATATTATTTACAATGTGTGCACCATCGCGTTTATTTATTATTTTTGGATTCTGTTGTCGAAGGTGTGTGTGGTGTGCTACATTTATCGCGAATTTCAGTTCGTTGCCCATTTAATGGAAATGAAAATGTCAACAAAATAAGATTTATCGGAAGTTCAACGATTAAAAACCGCATGATTTTCATAATATTCGCACCAAGATTATAACTATGGCAAGTGCCATTGTAATTCAATTTAATTACAGTAGGCAATTCAATGTTTGGCATGATGTAATCTCTCAGTACGCGAGTTGATTGAGCTCGACAAAATGAAATTCAAAAAAAAAAAAACGTAAAAAAGTAAAAACGTTAAACATTGACAAGAATATTCTTATCATTTCAATAGATTTTCAGAACATTCCAAACACACACTCATGAAATGTTTCGCTTTTAGTTTAGTGTCGGTTGCGTACATATATATTCAAATGAAAGAGAATTATATTGTGTATTTGGCACCCAGACATATAATACTTATTAAACTGATGCGATTTGAATCTTTTGTTCGTCTTGTTTGCCGTTTAAACTGCATGAAAGAGTAACACGTATATACACATTTTAAATGCTTCTCTTTCAATGCCTCGCATTTTGTATGGGCGACTGTTGGCCGTGCACACATACATGGACTTACGTACAGTCAAACACGACAGAGAAAAAAACAACAAAAAGCCGAACGACGAAAACAAAACAACACCAGTCACGGCCGACTTGTATAAATTGGTGCGCAATACGGTTATCGAGCACATATACTTCTAGTCTGTTAAACTATGAAAAGTGATCTATAGCAAATTAGTAAAAAAAAAAACAGTTTTTTTCTCTAAATCGATAGAAAAAAAATATTCCAAAGTTGTTAATTTAATAAGCAAAGTCGAAGAGTTAAATTTATTTTCAATCTCACGTGCATTTAAGGTGCGTTACATTTGTGTGTATAATCGGCAGAGAAAAGAAGATTTTTTTTTTGCATTTTAATGCGCAGTTATAAAATCTCTTCAACGTTTGCTCTGGAAAATCAACTTTTTGTTCATTAATTTTTTGTGTGTGCATTTTTTTCTTTTTAATTTTTCTTTAGGAAACCAGAAAGCAATAAAGCAAAATCAACATGTCGTCATCATCAACAACAATCAACGTAGATGAATATGAGCATTACAATTACGAAGAAATCAGCACCGGACGCGGTGGTAAAAATCGTTCAAAGACTGAAGCGCAACTCCATAGCAATAAGCATGATCCATGCGGACACACACGGAAAATAGTTGAAAAATTGCACAACTCCGAGAAAAACAAACGTGAATCGAAAAAGTAAAATTCACACCGTTTTATATCGTCTCGTTTTTTTCATCAGCTTTTCGACTCATAATCGCCATCCATACCTGATCATGCCTATTCTCAACCGAACTTACAACTAAATCGAGTGTCATCTTCGGGAAATCGCATCGTGGCACCACATTGTCGATTACAAAATCCACACACACAGTTTTGGAAACATTGCGTGTTATTTTTTAATAACCATTTTTGTGTCTGATTTCCTTCTTTCTATGCAATAACATCCACAATAATTTTTCAATAGCAATTAATTTTTAAATTGAACGATTGCGTCGTTTCAGTTTCAAATTTGCATTGTTTAGGGATTTTCGAATTATAGAGAGTTTCATTGTGTTCAATGTTTTCTTTGCATTTTAAATTAAAATCAATTTCGATCTATTATAATTTACTTTATGGTAAATGAAATAAAATAAAAAAAAGTACAAAAATTATTTCACCATTTGGGAAGAAAAATTGCAATCTTGTTTTTTTTTTTTAATTTATCATGAATCATCATTTTGTTTTGAAAACACACGACGGAATTGTGAAATAAATTGCAGGTGGTAAACAATCATCGACCGGCTCAAAAGCTGATCAAATAAATTGAGAAGCAATGCCGTTTTAAACGATGACTCAAAGATAAATCGCCTTAAATTTCAGTACGACTTTGTTTTTCACTTCATGGTACTGTTGTCATTGAACATCGCGGAAATAACACGCAATTGACTGTTTCAATGTCTCATCAGTAAATTAGCAATATTCTTTTACAATTTGATACCCGTGTGGTAGTCATATTTTCGTTCCATTGCCGTCGTACGTGATAACGACCCCTTTTTCCTTATCTCAATCCACAACATTTCGCCTTTCATTTAATCAAATAAAAGCGACCTAATTATTCATCATCACAACATTCGAAATTTGCTCTATAATTTGTTCTAAATAAAAACAACGTAAACATGCTTGACTCGCTCTTGCATAATCCGTGCGATTTTATAGCGATAATATGACTTTGAAGAAAAACAAAACAAAACATGAGATTCGTCACGACTACAACTATACCAGTCGAAACACTAACACACGACACAACCAGAAAAACAAGTGAGAAAAAGAAAGTCCGACATGATTACAGCTAATTGCTATGAATATAATAGCACAGGTGTCTCTATAACGAGAATAGTTTACCTTGGAAATCGTTACATCTTTAAATCATGTCGTAATGTTCATATTATTATAATCAATCTTTGATTAAAAACAAATAACAATAACAAGATACTATCAAACAACAAATGTTTCGTTAAATATTCGTTGAGTGCGGTGTAGATGGTGTTGCCAGCGATGTCAACATTCTACTGTCAGTCGTATTCGTCTGACAGATCAAATGTGTTGATAAACTCATCACGATACTCACAAAACGCCGTGGAATTGTTTCTGTTCGATTTTCTTGAGACAAGTGGGCCAGGAAAAACATATGTTTTTCATGTTTTAAGTTCACATTGGAATTTCTTTCAACATTGAAATATTCTACGCAATTAAATATCACCATTTCTTTCGAAACGAATGTAAGGTAAGTACAAAGAAATCCGTGTTGGCACATTGCATACGTTTCAATTTTACGTAACTTTAATCAAAAAAACATTTCCATAAATCAATGAAAATATCTGTGATTAATCGCCATATGACTCACGGTAAACATGGAGTGTATTTTGCGTTGTGAAAATAAGCGTAAATCTCAATCATAGTTAATGTGTCAGTTCGAAATGAAAACTTGTAATTGACACTTATCAGTGTGTCATAAAGATTATTATGTTTATTTTGTTAAATCAATTAAAAGTAAAAAATAATTGTTTCTTTCTTTTGTCCTTTTACAGGAAATCGATAGTTGTTTTGAAAGCGGAACGGAGTATAATGATCAGTTTTGTGCTACATCACGCGCTCTTATCAACGACACGGATTCTATGTGAAAGCATCTAACGAAATAACATTCGATATTACGAATGGTTTTCATTGATGGCATCAGACACAAAACAAACCATTCACTTGTAATACTCAAAACACACATAGTCCGTACATTCGCTTCGAATAGATTAATCATTTAATAGAAATTAATATTGAAAACACTGCTCGCTGATATGGCATATTTATTGATATTTGGTATTATCGTTGCCTTAACATTGGCCACAGCGTCTCTTTATCGGTATGGAAACGTTCAGCGACAGCATCCACTTGTGACGTTGTCCGTATTGACAGCTTGGAGTTTTTCGTTTTTGATTGTATTTACGATTCCACTCGATGTGACCTCGGTGAGTGTTAAGAACGGAAAAACACCCATTTTGTTCTATTTTTATTTTTCGATGCATGTAATTTTCGCTTCTCTGCTTTGGAACATTTTCTAAGCTAAATCATTTTATTCATACTTTTGAAATCAATCCATTTTTAAAGCACTTTACTGATAACTGCATTTTTATTATTCACTCAGACGGTCTATCGTCAATGCATTCACCCGACAGTCAATGATAATGATGATAATACTCTACAATCCATTAGTAAAACAGTGTCTAATTCTTCAAATACGTGCCAGAAACCATGGGGAATGGTCTCCGAAGATGTATTTCCAAGTCTATGGCGGATTATCTATTGGACATCACAGTTTCTTACATGGTTGATTATGCCCCTAATGCAATCTTATTTGAAAGCTGGTGATTTTACCATAAAAGGTATCTATATCATAAAAAAAAATCGATTGGTTGGTAAATATTAACATTTTTTTCTCATTTTTTTTTATCGAAGGAAAACTGAAAGCAGCTGTTATCGATAATGCCATTTACTATGGATCCTATTTATTCATATGTGGTATTCTCTTCATTTATTTGGCTCTAAAACCGGATGTTCAATTGGATTGGCAAAAATTAAAAGCAATTGCTTCATCGGCATCAAATACTTGGGGTTTATTTTTGCTTGTCTTACTTCTAGGTGATACACCCATCCTTTTGTAACTCAATCTATTAAAACTACAAATAGTTAAAACATAATTCTATATGTGTCCATAGGTTTTGCATTAGTTGAGGTGCCAAGAAGTTTATGGGAGCATTCCTGGCCGGGTGTAACACTGAAACAAGCCTATTTTAAATTGGCCAAGTTAAATATCGACAAGGCCGATGCCGAAGAGAATGTCGATGATGTATTAGAATCACTAAATGCAGTGAGTCAAGCCACGCCTCTAACGCATGAACTTCGACCGTGTATCGATACAATTTTGCGCAAAGTACCAACTGAACTAATGGAGCGGGTGCGACGCCATCGAAGTGACGGAGGACAATCGAATGCTGTGCCATCTGAAAAATCTCTAATCCGCTTACACAAACAAGTCATAAAGTCTATTCAAACATTTCAGCGCACCGACGCGCTTTGGAACGTTCAAGTCGAAAAGGTTCTACATTTAGAAGACGTTGAAAAGAATTTAAATTCACTGGACCGTCGTTTCAAAACCGAATTTCCGCAACAACGAACAAAATTACATGAGATGATTTGTAATCCAACGCTTGATTGGTATTGGCAATGCAAATTAAGGCCACCATTCATGCGGTCAATGGCAATCGTTTTGGGTGTACTATCATCGATGGTGGTATGGAGTGAATTAACGTTTTTTAATAGAAAGCCGGTTCTATCGATATTTGCAAATGTGGTGAATGTGGCCAAAGAAAATCATGATTTTCTTACAATTGAACTCTTTTCAATGATTACACTGTGCTATTTATGCTACTGCGCTTATTCAACTGTTTTTCGAATTAAATTCTTGAATTTGTACTACTTAGCACCGCATCATGCGACAAATGAACATAGTTTAATATTTAGTGGAATGCTTTTATGCCGTTTGACACCGCCGATGTGTCTAAATTTCCTGGGACTCATTCACATGGACTCGCACGTCATTAAAACTCAAGTTTCCGAAACTTTTTACACACAAATTATGGGTAAATTATTTTGATGATAACAGCATGATTTATAATAATAATATCACAATTATTAATGACTAGGTCACATGGACGTCCTCGGAATCATTTCGGATGGATTCAATATTTACTTTCCGATGGTGATACTTTTTTTCTGCATAAGCACTTGGTACAGTTTGGGAAGTCGAGCACTCAACGCACTCGGTTTTCAGCAATTTATGCTGAATGAAATCGATCAAAATGAATCGATTTCAAATGAATTCATACAAGAAGGAAAGGGTTTAATTGATCGTGAGAAACGGCGACGACAACGATCCGAAGAGAGTCGAATGCGACGAAGAGGCCAACAATTGCCAGCTCGTGAACTGTCCAACTATCGTGCTAGTCCGGCTCAAAACAATGGCCGTAATGGTGGTAGCGGAGGAGTTGGTGGCTTTGAAACATCGCAACGTACTTCAAATGATGGTTTGCTTGGAGATGGCGATTCATTCGATTACAATGCAACAAATCAAATGGGACGAACATTTTCCACCGAAATCAATGAACGATTCGGAGATAGCACACAGATAAAAGTCGGATTTAAAGGCTACAATGATTTGGATTCGGACAATGACGACAGCAGACATTGGAGCAATATAAAAGACGGAGCGCCGCGAAATCTTTTCGATGACGTTTAATATAAGAAATTGAGCACTATTTTTATTTTATTTATCCATATGGTCCGAAAGTATTGGTGCAACCCTTACACAAATTACACAATGGAAAAAAATTGAAAATGTTTTTTTCATGTATTCTAGTCTCTCAAACGACATTTTATCAACACTAAATTTAAGGGGAAACCAGTTTTGTGTATAAAAATGTAAGGTGTATTTAAGCACAACTAAGAATGAATCATGCATTTCTCATTGGGAAAAAAGCAGCATTCGTTTTGATTAAACGGTTTTATAGCATTGCCACGATAAAAAGTCCACATTACGTGCATTTTTTTTTAGTTAATGACCATTTTCCCAACAAAAAATCCTCTATTCCACTGTAAATGGGAGAATTTCTTTTATGATATCAAAAGAAAGATGTGTACACATTTCTATTTAGATTTTTCTTGCCAACATCTAAAATGTTATCATCTAACAACTAATAATAATAAATAAAAATGAAAACAAAGTACAGTTTGTGAGAAACTTATCTTTTTTTTTTGGATTAACCAACGATAAATGATGACTATGACAACTGCTTGAAGCTCATATTTCAATGTTCAAAGGCAAATCGTCTGTATATATTTTGTTGCACTCCATTTTATTCATATTCTCTAAACAGCTTATGTTGCACTCAATGATCACGAGAAAAGGAAGAATAATACTTTCTTGAAAATGATTTTGTTGATGTGACCATGTATTTTTAATGAATTGCAAGCTCATTCAAATTAAACCTTCAAATAATTGAGACAAATCGCTTATTGAAATCTTGCATTCAATTTGTAAACTAATCTAAACTTGAGCATTGCAATGTTGCTTAGTCCCAAACATGAAGCAACCGAAGTTCATGAAAGCAATAAAAAAGGTTAACAAAAAAGTTTGTTGTTCACGTACATGCATGAGCATGATGAGTTTTGTTCGTTTCGAAAGGCACATAAGACGAATATTTTGCACAAACTACTATTATTTTGAATATTTCGAACTAATATTGATTTTGTGTTCTAACTTCTACAAATTTGCTATATCTACTTTGCTTCTTTGTTTGTGAAGAAAAAAATTCGGTGATCGGTTAAAAAATGAAAATATTTTCAAAAGTTTGGAAGTGAAGAGCGACTTTGTTTTATAGATCAATAGAAATGAGAAAGGTGTTTTAAATTCGGTACTGTAATTTGCTACCCTCATTAGAATGCCATTCCAAATGTTTCTTGAATGGAAATTCCGTCTTAATCTACGGCAAGATTAATAGCTAGTAGACATAACGATGAAAGAAAGGTTGTTTTGTGTACCAATTGAGATTTATGTTTGCACAATTAATGTGTATTTTTCTTGCCAAGATCTCTTATCAGATCTAATTATATACTACGCAGTTTACAAAATGAAAAAAAAAACGCTCAATCATTGCTGAAGAAAAATAAAAATATTTGTGTAGCAAATGTTGTTTCAAATTACATTGACGGCAATAATTGTTTTGATTATTGACACCAATCTGACGTGAAATCTTATTAAACAATTTGTATTTCGATTCAGCGACCTATATAGTATATACACAATTATAGAATTTTTCAAACAAAAAAAAAAACGGATGTTATAATTGACCGCAGAAAAAGATAATTTTATTGGTATTCAAGCAAAACTAAAAATATACATACTGTGGCATCGGTCAAAACGGTCGTTGACTTGAGCGATGGTGGTGGATTTTATAATAATTATTCAAAATGTTATCTGCTATCTCTTTTGTTGATATTTTGTCTGAGTGGCAGAAATAGAAACATAAGGATCTTAATGGATTCGAATAATAAATTGGCAAAACAAATGTGAACAGGTTGCGACGCACATCTTTTTCTTTATTCATTCGTATTATAATTGTATATTAAGTATGATAGAAATGAATTCATTTCTAAAATCAACAAATATGTTTTGAGCTAACGTGAAAAATATCTTTATCATCAAATTTTGAGAATTTAGTATGACGATAAACACAAAAATGCCTAAAATGTAAGATTCAACTGTGCCATATCAAACGAAACAAAATTGATAATACCCAAATAGACCAAATTTGTTATCATTATTCTTGAAATGTTGTTATCGTCACGACTTATTCATATGAAATGAGAGATTGAGTGCAAATTGTGCAGATATGAAATTGCAATATTTGGAAAAAAAAGTCATCGCTTTAATCCTATTCAAGTCTCCTTTGAACGAACATTTGTACGTTGAACTTAAAAATGCAAGATAACAATTGTCTGTGTTTGCATTTTTTTTTTTGCTGGCGAATACTTGCTTCAAATTGCCATCGAAATAGAATTTAATAACTTGTTTTTTTTCGGTGGCAGTTAATTATTTCGTAATGAGTTTTCGGCCGTAGTCATCGGTTATAACCAATTTGGTGACATCGTATTTTGCGTCTGCATTTCCTCTGCAAGAAAGTACAAAAACCTAAGCAGGTAGCAAATAGATTGGTACAATGACCGACTATGTTTGCATACATTTTTTCGGTTATTGTTTCTTCCGAATTTCATAGTAAACGGAAATTTTATGCATACAAAAGGTTACCAAAAGAAAGTTCAAAAGTGTAATATAATTAAGTACGTCTCATTGTACACGTAGGTGCATGCTTCAGCTAGCAGTTGTCGGTTTAGTTCGGCCTGTTTGCTATCATTTGTGTGACCCATGAAGATGACCAAAAATCGTACTGCACTCAGAGTTTCATCACACGTTGATGTGAGCGGTCATACTCTACTCAACGCTTAATTTTGAAACACATATTTTCAAAACAAAAAAAGTTAATTTTCATATTTATTTTGTGTTATTTCAAAAAAGAGGAAAAATCCAGTCCTTTGCTGACATAAATATCTAAGCGGTGTTCATTTTGAAATTTAGTTGATCAAGGTAAGTGTTGAATCATTTTTGTTTTGAAAAATTACACTAAAAAAAACGAAGTGAAAAAACATCGACGATGAATCAATAATTCTTGGAAATTTTTGCATGCGAAAGTGTGCATGTTTTCTTTGCGCACTGAAACACCGAAACAGAGAGAAACAAAAGCTGAAAAAATCCCACACATAGCATCATCAAAAGACCGTGTGACGTTTTTATTTTAAATACAGAAGAAATAAACGGGATCATTTCAGCTTGATCCGTCTACGTAACGAGCATATAAATCATACGGTCTTGAAAAACTGAACCAACACATCGATACATCGACCTATGCATTACTAGACAAATATGACAAGCACTGGTACCGTATTAGCTATCTATCATCGAAAAAAGTAACGACATAGTATACTACATACAAAAGAAAGTGTCGAAGTGTATCATATCGTCTGATTTGCTTATCTATCGTTAGTTGGCTACCACAACAATTGTGTATATGTATGTTCCGCATCGCTTGTGCGCGTCAAGTTTGTTTCATTTGGACGTGCGCACACACAAACAGCACTTTAATTAGTTGTCTCTCTTTCAACGAACGCACAACAAACCGCTTCAAATACAACGCTAGACGTATTTCTCTCTTCAGTCTGTGTCTGCGCTCACTTATTCTCTCGCTAATAAGCGAGTGTGGATTTGTTTACTGTATCAAATGAAAAAAAAAAAAAACGAAGAAAAAATAATATAATTCGCGTAATCACAGTTCCATACATGTTCGTTCTTGTTCTCTCAGTAAAGCCACACAACCGTACAATTCAGAATTGTGCAAATGTATAAAATTAAATTTAGTTTTCTCTGTCGCGCGATCATTATAGTATATACGAAACGAAAAATACAAAATTTAATGTGTAAGTGCGGTACTAACTGTTCATTTCATTTAAAGCAACTATAGCCAGATGATGTGAGAGTGAGATTTCGTTTTTGAATACATTTTCATATGATTTATTCTCTCTTTAATAAAAAAAATTTTCAGTCATTTTTCACCCGCAATCGTGTCACACGCAAACATCCCGTTGCTGCAACATATTCAATCCGAACGCAATTGTCATCACTTTGATAGAGGAAGAGAAACTGAAGAAATAATTGCAATTTTGACGAAACATATTACAAAGAGCTGAAGGAGAAATTCGCATCAAATTCATCCGCACAAAGAAAAAGTATATTTTTGTATAATCAGTGTGCAAAAACGTGTGTGAGATTTCACTCGTGTTTTTTTTTTTTTTTTGGTTAGAACGACAACGACGAATTTCCTGCGACGACTACGACAGCAGCAGCAACAACGACGACTAAGACAAGGAAAGACATAGATCAAACGTGTGCGTATTTATTAATTGTTGTTATTGTAAAATTAAAGATAAAAAAGTGGAGTGTTAAAATAGAACGTGTACGCTTCGTCACCGAAACAAAGAAAAACATTTTTTTTCGATACAAACGTGAATTTCAGAGATGCAAAACACTGTCTATTTCAATGAATTATTTTCTTTTTTGAGTTTGTATCAATTGAATGGACTAATTTTAAAAAATAACGGGAATAACGATAAACTTTCAATTCAGACGAAATTATTACATTGCTTGGCATTGATTCGAATGCGTGTCGATAACTTTGTGAAACTAAAGACTTGATTCATCACTGCAACATATACAACATATTTCAATAATAATTTCATCATTTCACGTTTGTATTACGCTAAGAAGGGCCGCTAGTTCGGTGCTTTGTGTGTGTGACTCACGCGAAGACAGGTGACGTCATTGGATAAGTTAAACGAGGGAACTAAAAACCCAACAACGATATTTTATTTTATTTACGATGTACTCAATGGACGGGTATAGAAACTACGCGGATCAATCCGTACCAGCGATCTTTGATCGATTTGATCGTTGGCCTGACCTAGATACTAATTTCAATCTCCATGAATCATCGTTTTTCCTTAACGAAATGGAACGAAACAATAACAAATGCAATACGAACGATAATATTTACAAATCGAACGATTTCAACGAAACAACGACGACTCAACATAGTGTTGGATATAATTTAGCGATGTCGAGATATGTATTCATCCCGTATTTTGGAGCCTTTCAACAGAATCCGGCAACAGCGCCCGTTGTTTGGCACCATCATCAACAACACCAGGAACACACATATCGTAGCCATTTATCAAGCGATGCAACACCATTCATTCCAATCAAATCCGGACCGCGTAAGTCATTTCTTTTGAATTGTTGTTTCTTTTTCTGCTGCTATCTTTCAATGACAAAATTCTGTCTCTATCTCTTCTGTACATACATATGTGTGTGTGTGTGCGATATTACATAAAGGAAAGTCGAAAGTTCATGTTTATCACATTTCAAACGATACGTTCCAAAGTGACAATTTATTCATTCGATTTAATTAAGACGCAAATAGAATGCGCATGTATTACAAACACTTCTAATCGCTTTTATTCATGGTTTTTTCTCTATTTAAACGTAGTTTCTGTTTTGTTGCAACTATGCAACTACTTACACACACACATGAACTCGACAAAAAAAACTAGAAACTTGTAATGTCGTAAGACTCGAATATTATATTGAAAACATTTAAATTGTATTTTGTGTATTAATGTTTGTCTAACGGAGAGAGATGGCGCATGTAAAAAAAACTTGTGTTGCTATAGTTTTCTTCATTCGCCCGACGTTAAACAACAAAAACATTGTGTACACTGCTGTTTATTTACACGTCTTCACCTTGATAGATCTCCCAATACACACGTGCATAAAACGAACTTCAAATTACGCTGCACATTTTGCCTTCTCCATTGTTGTACACTATTTTTAGGTGTTTTTTATTTTATTTCGATGGCTTTGCACACATGTGCAATGATACCAGCACGGATATAGTTTATTATCTAAAGGCGTATGTTTTTAATTTAAATGCGCATATCAAGTCTTATTGCATGGTGCGTGAAAAATGGTCAGCAACGTGCATTTAGCCTAGCGGAACACAATCAGAATATTATCGTTACGAAAATTGTCTATATCAATAAAGTTCAATGTTTAAAAATATAACGCACGATTTGTTGTTGTTCGAATATGTAGATCGTGAGATTGTAATGAAAACTGAAAATATCAAGTTCACAACTGTTCGTCGAAAGCATTTGGGTCTCTTTATATCAAAACTATCTTGTGGAACATATGAAATTGTGTCTTTGGGTCAACACGCATTCGATATACTGGAGATGTTATCATGAAAGTGTGTTTGGCACATACATTTCCACTTCCGTAATTCGGCGAGATTTTGCAAACGAGCCAAGATTATGTCGCCCGTATATTTATGCATTACCATATTTGCGCGATAAATATTCGGAATTTTTTTGCTTTGTTAACAAAACAACGTCAAACCACTGGACAGACATAGATTTTTTGTATATCTCAAAAATTGAGTTATTCCATTGGGTTGTCATGTTATAATCAGGATATGGTTTATCATTTTCGGAAGAAATTTTTTATTGGAAATGCGATCGTATTTTATGAACAATATATAATTTAAAGAAAGCCTTTTTTTTCATTTCAAATAAAATGAGCCGATGTTTCGATGTGTGAGTGAGAGGTGATCATACGAGAAATGACGTATATTCACATCGAAGAAATTGGCTCAATATTTAACTGCGCAATTTGTGTGAGATTGAATTTGCACGCGCTCGGCCGACAGCACGGGCTCGTGAAATTTGCATTTAAATCGGTTTGCGAAAGAGATGAAGAGAGAACGAGACGGTGAGAGTCGGAGATTCAAATTGAGAATGAAAGAGAATTGTTCTGATTCAAATAGTGTGAGAATAAATCGCACGCCAATAAACCCAACAGAAGGAGATAGAGAAAGAGTGATCGAAGTATGTGTATTGAACACAAAAGGAGTTGGTATGCGGCATGACAATTGTTAGTGCTATCGGTCCACACAAGGAACAATGTCATCAACCTTTTCGAGGTTTATAGAACATCAAATTTAAATTGCGCATTATTATCATGCGATAGGTCGTAGTACCCGCTTCATTTGTTTCTTCTTGATTGTTTTTTTTATAGTTCAAAACAAAAAAAAGAACGAATATTATTCTTGCGGATATGGCTTGTCAAACGAGTTTGACACGCTTTCTCACTGAAAATTGAATAAAAAAAAGAGCAACAATGGATAAGTGGCTCGAAATCAGGTTACGCTTCAATTATCGCTTATGATTTTTTTTCATTCAAAATTATGTATGTTACTTTTGGAAAAAAGTCCAAAACTAGATACAGACTAGAACTGCTTGCACTTTGAACCGTTCTTCTTTTTACAACTGCGTCATTCAAGTTTTTGAACAATAAATTTTGTGGGTATTTTTAAAATCAAACAATTAATAGAGTGTCAATTGCATCGTTGCATTGAGTGTCCGCCTCCGGTCAATTTCTTATCTCTATTTTAGTCCACGATTATTTGTAACGAGCAACTTTTATTTGAATTCAAAAAAAAAATCATTCATAGTAAATCACTGTCGAAGGCACGTGGCATGGTTTATGCATAAGAAATCATATCTGAAAATCGAGAAAAAAAAACGAAAATGCCACTGAAAATGTGAGCTGTCTGAGAGAAAACGATAAATTGACAAAACGAATTGCTTTCTTAAATGCATATAAACAGCTTTTTTGTGCTATCCTCGCTCTCTCGCATCGTCTCTTTTTGTTGGTATCCCATAAACAATGCAAATATAATTGCATGCAAATTTGATTGGAGTGCGTTGCAGTTAGCACCTTCGTTGGCGTCATTTGTGCAGCCACAAAATAAATTTGCTATTTATTGACGCGGGTTATAAGAGCGACGATGATCTTGAACTCCGTTCAATAAATAAAGCCACATTATCATTGTTGTGTTTTGTGCTTTTTCCGTTCTTCTTCTTTTTCATTGAATATAATATCAATAAAATCATTTACACGGTACGCCCGCAATATGAACCGCCATGTATGGTATCAAACAATGTCGATCCTTGTAAAATTTACGTAAGTAGCCCAACGACAACGACCATTTACTCCTTGGTGCTTTTACGCGACTTTGTTTACCGCTTCAAAAGGCAAAAAACAATTGATAAGCAACGATTGCAAATATTGAAATGGATGATCTAGCTGAGTTTACACAGACGATGCAAATTTAGTTAAAATACAAAACAATTAAATTGCAAATTCATGTGCTGGTAGCTCTTTATCAAAGTCAAATATATAAAATACCGTCGTTTTATAGTTCAATTCGTAAACTGTTTACTCGAACGGCCGTTGGCAACAGCAACAAATTAAACAATAAACGGAGACTGCTCTGCGTCTGGAAATGAGTAATTGTGTTTATGTTCTTACGAATTTCTTGTTAAATTGTTTCTTCGAAAATGCAACGGTTCAAAGCGAAAATTGTGATTGTTTGCTGTAGTCAGCAGCGAAACTAATTGATTGACGAGCAAAATGATTTGTGTAATGCCCTTTTTTACAAAGAATTCTCATGCATATACATTGATTGCTTATGTGTGTGTGCTGAGATCGTGAGATTGGTAGGAGCGAGCGAAAGAGATCATTGACCGTCACCTAATGCATCTGCTGTTGCTGTGGTGCACATGTGCGGCAAAAGTACGCTATTTTTAACATTGCATTTGTTTCCATTTTTTTCGCAATTTTATACATCACATTGCACTTTCATTTTGCGCACACAAACACACAATTAATGCACATTTCACCTAAAACAGCCGACAAAATCAAAGCTCTTGAATGAAAGATGCCGCATAAAATTCAATTCAATTTTCATTTTGTTTTTAAAAAGTTTGCATTCATCTTTCAACTGAATCCGATCAATTAAAAGCCAAAGAATGACGCTAATTCACATAAAGAAAAAAACCAAACAAATTTCTAAAATTGTTGAACCTTGAAAGAATTATTTCGCTCATCACATGCATCCTCACATGGTTTAAACAACGCTGCGGGCTTTAAGATTCACATATACTATATACATATAACCATGCGGTCGGCCTTAAGTATTTCAATTTCGTTGAGTACACCAACACACGCACGCTCTTCTTTCGCGCGCTATCACACGAAACGAGGAATCAAAAAGTTGAATGAAAAGAAGTGAAAAAAAAGAGTATCGAGAATATAATGTGCGATTTATAAATCCGCATACTTTAGGAGCAGTGGTAGTACTAGTCGCGAGCGTGAATTCACGTTCAATTTTTTGCCGCCAATATCAAATCCAACGATGAACACAACACGTTTTTGATTGCGGATAACATTGCAGAAAGGTATGTCCGATCCGCATGTCGTTGTCTTCGCCTTTTTCGTCGTTCGTCGTGCACATTGCGTTTCATTTATTCAGTGCATTGGCAAGTAATTCGTCGGCGACCGCATGCCGATACACATTTTTTTTTTTTCATTGAACAACTGCAATACAAAAAGTGTATATTCACGTTTTTTTCATTATTTAACTCGGTGATAAGAGTAATCTCGCTTTGCTGTAGTGATAAGCCATTAAATCATAAAGTATTTTAAATGCAGCTAAATTAGATTGCGGATTAGGCAAGACAGAAAGAAAAGACGAAAAAAACTGGCAAAAATTCTTTGGAAAAAAATACAGCAGAGCACATGACAACGGAGCCAATAAAAGCCGACGAAAGCATGCAGAATACACAATATTACTTACAATGGGTAAAAATGTATATGGTATTTGGACGATGCGCGACTCGACACACACACACACTCATGCACAACAACCGAAACAAAATCGGTCTGTCTTTCCAAACGTGACTGTATGGATGCGTTCGAATGTATACGGGGTGATTCATGTGTAAATTACGTGTAGTATTCGCCGCAAAGTGATGACTACACATCGGAGGTTTTGTATATATGTTGACGGCGCGTACGGCAAAATCATTTAGTAGACGTTCAAGATCGTAACGATTCAGACCTCTAAAAAAACATACGAATAAAAACGAGTAATAATAGCATACTGCAAAATATCAGTATCATAACGATAACCATAGAAAGAGAGCTTCATTCAGCTTTTTGTGCAGCAACGCGCATTTTGGAACAAAATACGGTGTGTGTATGTGAAAAATCAAACCGAAAAGTTTGATTCGACGACGACCAGATCCAAATAGCTACAAGAAAAAAGCTAATATTGCAAAAAGTGTTTGTTTGTGTTTTTTTTTAAATAAAAACCAAAAAACAAGTTTAGAGAATGGGGAAACTGCATTGGCTCACACAAATATATGATTTCGCATTAAATAGCCATTCTGAATTATTTTTGGCAAAAGTTTCGATGTTTTCGCGTAAAAATTATAGTGCACCAATAGCAACAATTCTGAGACAAAGATTATCTCTATTCGGACAAAAGAAGAGCATTGCTAAAAATTAGACTTTTCAAGTGGTTTCCCGATGTAAAAGAAATTTAGCAACAAAAAACGTTCTGAAGAAAGTTTCTCAAAGCTTAAAAAACAACAACACGAATTTAATGTGCAAATTTGTTCCTACAAAAAAAAACTTGTGATAATTTCATCTGTTTAGAAAAATACTTTCGAAAAAATAACGAGAGAAAAAAAACACTGAAATAAGAGTTTATGTATGAAAGTTGCGCGCTTAAACATTTATTGAATCAAAGAAATTAGATCGAATTTACAAACCCTGTGAGAGTCACCAATTGGAGCAGTTGTTCAAATTTGACCCATTCAAATTGTTTGAATCGCGACCGATTTAAAAAAAAAACACACACAGTTTTCATTGAGCATTTTTTTAAAACCTCAATTGAGTTTTTTTTCGTGAGTTTGGTATAATTCGTGCAATCGCGGTGAAAGTGTGCCATTGGCATAACGTCATTCATTCCACATTGAGCCGTTTTCGTTTCGAGCATATATACATTTATACTTGTTCCGTATCTGTATTTTGTTGATTTTGCTGTTATTCTGCGGTTTGATTGTGAAATTGTTTGTGAACAAGAGAAAACTTATATACGTATGCACAAAATAGTCTTTTCTTCCTTCTCTCGCAAAGCGCAAGCTGAACATTTCATATCAAAGAAGACGATAGAAGAAGAAAAAATAAATAAAAAAAAATTCGAACGAATGAAATAATAAAAAAACAGTTCAAATCACAAAGCGAAAATAGCAACGAGAAACCGTTGGTGAAATGAACATTCAACCAATTTGAAGCCTGAAAGAAAGAAAGAAGCATAACAACCGTGTATGTGAGAGAGAATATCAAAGAAATAAATGAGCAAAATTAACGACAACGACCACAACGAACACAATCTTAATCTATGACATAGCGGATTGATGTACATATAACGGAATTTCGAATAGTTCTTCTTCTTCTTCGCATCGCTTCGTATTAGCGTTGGCCATTGGTTTGTGTGCAAGATTCATTCTAAATAAGACAAAGGCCATCGGTATCTCGACTTCTTTTTCGTATATTTTGTGTATGCTTGGCGTGAGAATATCGAAGCAAACGAGAAGGAAAAATACCAACGAGAAAGCAAAATAAATAATTTGAGTATCGGAACCAGCAAAAAACTTCATAGAAATTCCAATCCGACCAACATAAACAATTGCAAGCATTTTACAGTTAAAAATAATTCTGCTGTTTTGCTTTACTTCGTCGGCTGTGTAACATAAAGTACTGTTTTAAATTAGCTGTGCACACTCATACGCGATTTCCTATCATATCAAAAAAGGTAGATAGAGAGAGAGTGTATCAGACAGCATCATCATACGAGACTAGAAACGACTTTCAAACAGTGTGTTAATTATATAATGAGCACTGTATGACATTGGTCACCCGTTCATGGAAATACAGTTCACATCGCCAAGAAATTATACACATCAACAAAATCAACCGTTTTTTTAGTGGCTCATACAAAAACACTTGAGATTTTTCCATCGTTTTCTTTATAATCTGTCCAACTATTTATTTATTTATTTTTGACAACGACATCAACAAACCGAATTGTGTGCGTGTGTTTGCTAATTTCGATGCGATTCGAAATTGAAAAGTGAAATCACTTCGCATGAGAAGAACTTTTAGAAAAAAACAAACAAAAATTTGAAATATATGTGATTTTAATTAACGCTAAACTCAAATATATATAAACATTCGAACATTCAGTGTGAATCGATTTTTGCTGTCGTTTGTTTTTCAACTTCTTTTTCATCTGTTGTACTTGGCTGCATTTTTCACATTCACGTGCAAATTGAATTTACAAGTGAAAATTAAGTCTAAAGGAAGCGAATTAGCGCATTCAAACGACATATTATATTTGTTTTAAAATTTAATATAAAACAAAAACCAACACGAAGAAGGTCAACAATGACGACAACAATGTTTGAAGAAATGAACTTCGGTTTGTGGCTGGGCGCATTTTTTGCCACATTCGGTTTCGTTCGCATTTTGATCAGCTGTAAAATGTATATGGAATCAAGTAAGTAATTTAAATCATGCGTAAAAAGCAGAGCGCGAATAAAAAAGCAATTAAAGAAGAATTTTTGGAATGAATTTCTGAGAAAAAAATGCAAATTTATCGAGAAAACGACGATTTAACATTTTTTTTAAATCAGAATCAGCAAATGGAATTCACACACAAATTTAAGCAATGATTCATTTGATGAACCGGCCTCTGTTTTGAAAACCATTCGCCGAGAATGTGCGGAATGATGCCATTGGAAATATATGCATATATGACAAATCTTCTTCCATTTTTTATTACAATACTATCGACCATTAAATTTATGCAAATCCAATGAAAATATCGAAATCCCATTCGTACCACGGTGTGACCTCTCTCATGTTTCACATAACATGGTTGTGTTGGTGTGTGCCTCTATTTTTGTATTGTGAATTTTGTGTGTTGATTATTTGGTGTTGATTGCCGGCACAATAGCACGTTGATTGCACATACCATTCACACTCACACAGTCACATAAACAGCGACACATTTATTGATTTTTCCTCGGTTCAGCGGCGGCCAAATGGCAGTCACATCATTATCCATGGGCAAATTATTATATGAACTGCGAATATAGAGTAACACAGAATGCTATAACATCAACGCAACGTGCATATTTACAAAGCAGAGGCCAATAAACGTCTGCCGATGGCATGTGACTGCAACGCAAAAAGGGAAAGAGAGAGAGAGATGGAGAGCAACCTTTATGATTCGCACGGTTCAAAGAACTCTTTTTATTCAGTCGGTTGAACTGTAAATAGAAACGATTCAGTGGCAGACTTTTCCAATGAATCGTATCGCATGAAAACAGACACAGACAACAATCTCTCATTCAGTATCATTCTAAGCTCTCGTTCAAATCGTTTCTAGTTAACGAGGGAAACCATTGTAAAACATACGTGTATTCTTTTTAAAATAACTCAGCAACCGACACCAGTCGACGATATATGCATCATATAATATTGTGTTTGGTGTTTTATTGATAAAAACGGTGAATCCGTAGATTAATTCATTGATGTGGATGTGCGCGACGCGACCAGTTTTATCACCTTTCCATACTTGGATCGACACTTTCATAAAAAAAAAATTTTGAAATAAAAGCGATAACGAAAAAAACAAGACACCGTTTGAAATTCGAATTATTTGGTGTTTTCGTGTTTCGTTTGGAGCTGTGATTTTATTTTCGATAAAAAATTTGATGGTAACAACCGGCTGGTTAATATACTGCGTAATTCAAGGTGTTGCAACATAATGTGTGTATAATTTTTTTTTTACACATGTCATTTCCTTTGTGCTCTTATTTGTTTTTCGAGCCTATTTCGTATGGTGTTTATAATGCAACCGAGCTAATTGATTTCATCAGAAAATGTGAAAAAAAAATGCGCGAAATATAAAAGCCAGTTTTTCACGTCGTCGTCTCTCGCTAAAGAAATCAGGTCTTTTGTGAAATTACCCAACATAACAGAACACACACAAATTATTATAATTTTAATTTTAATTTTAATTTTCAATTCACCTTTATTTGTAAATTTCT